GTTGGCTTCCAAACTTTCAAATCTCCAAACTCAACTGTCACCATCATGGGAGCTTCGAAAAGAGGTACATGCTTGAATGTGCAATGCTTCTCATCAATGCTCTCCAGAATGAATACAATGTCTCCATATTCTTTGTTGCAATACCTGCAGGCAACATATACTTAAACTGGACCCTGTGAGCAATGAGCTATTCTCTGTTAGCCCAACCAACACATATTAAACAGTTTTGTCAACAAGTGGTGCCTGGAACCAACCTTGATGTGCTTATGTTGGAGTTGGGCAACTTCGGCAGCTGTTGCTTGTAGCAAGTCAGTGACTTTGGTGGAGGCTTCTGGGCCTTCAGCCTTGGCTGTGGCACCACTAGGCTCAATCCCAGCCAGCTCTTCCCCAAACATTTCTATGATCTCTTCATAGGACTCCACCTCCTTGTGGTCTCTGCTGTGCTTCTGTTTGCCCAGCAGCAAGAGCACCATTCTTGTGCACAACTTGCCAAAAGCAAATCCACCCTTGGTATGAGATGCGCACTTGGCCCAAGCATCCCTGAGCATTTGTTCCACCTCCACTGCCTTCTTGTTGAGGGAGCCTTTCATTTTGTCAAGGTCAGACTTGAATATAAGCCTGGAATAGCCATCCACTGATTTAGTTGATGACAAGATTGCATGTAGCAAGGCCACCCTGCACATCATCAAAGGATTGCCTTCAACCTTGAAGTCAAAAAAGGTCAGCTGGCTCATCATTTCTTCACCGATCATCAATGAAGGCCCCAGCCTTTTGCCTGGGCAAGAAGAAGCCGTCAACATTCTATCACCCAAAAAGCGCATATAACTAAAGGTTCACAGACTGAGCAGGGACATCAGTTGCAAAGAAGAAAGATTTCTCTAAATACCAAAGCATGAAGAAATTCAATGGCAAAGGTCAGATGTTTGCTGGCAAGATGCAAAACTGGCTGAGTTGAGTGAGCAATGGGAATCCATGCCCTCCTGTGTACAATGACAAAAATTGAGCTATGTCTGTAATGTATTTGCCACAGGTTGGCTGGGCAGCTTGGACAGCCTCAATTGCGCCTTGCATAGTCATGCCTGCTTTGACATAGTTTGCCAACTGAAGCATTGCTTCCAGTTCACAGGTAGCAGTGTTGTTCGAGTTCACTGAATTAAGGGCTGCTTGGCAGAAGGAAGGAAACTCAGGAAACTCTGCTTCGACAGAGTTACTGATCACTGTCCACTTCCAGCCAGAGGCAACTAGGCTTTCCAACTCTGCTGGTACGTGAAGACTTTCACCTGTAGGAGACAAGCATTGTCCTTGTAGGGCCTTGAGGAACATGACCCAGTGAGAATTGCCCAGTGTAAGGTATCGCTCTGAGCCAGTGGGTACTGGCAACAATCCTTCTGATGATGCACACATGTTGATGTTGGCTTCTACTTGCTTCATATACACATCTGTGTTGCTCGACATTTCTATGCAGATAGAAGAAGGGCCCAGAAGGTCTGGCTTCAGTCCAGCAGAGATGATGGCCTGCCCCTTCTTGCGGCAGTCGAAGGCATTGACCATCTGAGATCCTCTGTTGTGAGGATGGACTTGTAAGGATTCAGGCTTCAGAATCAGCCCATAGGCCAGGTTGGCAAGGGTGAGCAATGCCAAGATCTTTTCCAATTTATTGTTCACACCATCTTTGCTTTTCAGGATCGCGCTCATCTTCTCTTTGGTCACAGAGTCCATGGCTTGGCTTGGACAAGGAGGTTGAAGAAAACCTAGCTAAAGAAATGCACACAGTGAGTGCAAGGATGATGTGGGCCAGTGTGCAAGTGCTCATGAGGGCTGTGTTCACTTTGTAGAGCCTGTTTTCCATTTGTGCTTAGAACTTGGTTTGCTTGGTTTGCTAATGAAAGCTTAGCATGTGAGCCATGAAAAGCTGATGAGGACCCATGTCAGGCTACTCCCAAGGAACACAATGTATAGGTAAAGATGTGAGCCCTGGAAGGCTACTCTCAAAGAACACAGCACAAGCAACATGCATGTGAGCCCTCAAAAAGGCTACTCTCAAAGAATACAGGACAATCAACATGCATTTGAGCCCTGGAAGGCTACTCTCAAAGAACACAACACAAGCAATATATGTATGTGAGCCCTGGAAAGCTACTCTCAAACACAGCGCAAGCAACATGTACAGTGGGCCCTGGGAGGCTAATGTTAGTTTCTGCGCATGTGAGCCACCAAGGGCTATACTGGAACACAGGCTTGCGTTGAGCCATGCTGGGCTAGTGTGAAGCAAGCAGTGACCTTTTCATAGCCAGGTGTGCTGTGCAGCTGATCTATTCATCAGTGTCTTCTTCAGACATCTTCTGCTTCTTGGAGAACTTGCCACTTCGAGTGTAAGTCCTAGTGGGCAGGCATGCTTCACAATCTGCCTGCAAGAAGTCAAAGACTGCTGTAAGCATAGTTGCCTCCACTTTGACCATCAGATCAGAACTTTGGACTCTCTTATGAGGACATAGAAGGGTCACTGTCACATCCTCCACTTGTATATCCACTGTAGTTGGAGCAACTCTCCTCTTCTTGGTTGAAGTCACAGAGCCATCAGCTTGGCCATCCTGCTGCCACTCATCACCATCTTGCCCCTGCACACATCCTGCAAGCTTGTTGTTGCGCAGCAACTTGAGCTCATTCAACTTGCCACCATTGGTCAAAGAAGCAGGATTCTTTGTACCACAGATCAACTTCTTAATTGTATAGTTTGAAGGGGAAAGTTTCAAGTACATGCAACCTTCTTGGTCCTCCAGGGTTTCCTATGAGTTCTGCAGAAACACAATCATACAACTTTGTGGGGTCAAGTAGAAAAAGGTTAAAAGCACATGATGTTAACATCACATAATTGGAGTCCTTGGCCAGCAATCCCTCAGGGATCTGTAAGCTTTTGCCATCTTTGTAGGACAAGGAAAGTGTGTGAGACACTTCCACCATCAACAGTTTTCTTATCCACTCAACAGTTGGTGGATGCACTGAGCTCACACCAGACAGATTGTCAGCTGCAGAATATGAGCCACTGTGGGCTATGCTGCAGACACAGGGAAAGCAACTCAAACAACTGTGCATTCAACACTTGCACAGCAACTTCAAAGCAAGCAGGGTTGAGCCACATTGGGCTAGTGTGATATCTGCTACAAACAGTGAGCCCTGCCAAGCTAATGTACATGCCTCAACAAGCATGTTTGCATGTGGCCACAGCGTGAAAAACACAAAAAATTCTTATTTTTGTCAAGAAAAAGCATTGTTTTAAAAAATTTCAAAGAGCAATTGAAAGAAGACCCCAATGCTTTTGTTCAAGTTCAGAAATAAACAACTTAAACAGACCTAACTAGTTAGAAAAATTAACATAATTAGAAAAATTAACATAATTAGCTAACAATTATAAAAAATTAGTAATTATGTTAACTATTTACATAAATTATAAAGAGTTAAGGCATAGATAGGGTATAGTTAGGTCATGGTTACAACCAGTTAGTAACAAGAGCTAATTATGTTAAGTAATTAGTAAAAGGCCAGCCGATCTAAGTGCACTTCCTTTGATTCCATACGTGGCGCGCTGGGCGTCGTGATCCCCCACAAAGAAGCTTCTGGGCTCCAGCTTCGTGCCTCTCCGTGTGCAGCGCGCGCACAACATAGCGCATCAGAGAAGACGCACCATCTGCTATACAGTCCAGCTGGGTCCGCTGGACGCAGCAGACCGGAAACCAACTCTTTTCAGAAGTCACAACGTGCCACAGACATCCAAAGGTGCAGTAGACCACGAGAGGTTTTTTCTTTTTGACAGGAGCCAAGATGTTTCCGCATATGATTTCGTCATTGTACAGCAAAGCCTGTATGCGTGTAGTTCTGCCGCCCAAGCATCTGATTTGTGGATCAGAAAATTCAACGTATGTAGACGGATGCAGACGGTCTGTGGATGGCCATCTCGTTCATCACTAGGAAGCTCATGCAGATCGAAGCGCGAACGGGCCGACGCGTACTCCGCCTGAAGCAACCGTCTATACCTTCTCCAGGGACCACAGGACCATGGGAGACGGCCGTGTTCCAAATTCTGACGAAGTCCTCTTCGCTTGCGTGCGTGCTCTGCACATGGCGCGTTCGAACGAAGGCCGCTTCTGCTGTCCTCTTTCGAGACATGGTTCTGTCACTACACCGAAGCCTCTGCCTTCAAGCCCATACATTTTATACGCATATACATACATAGACCATACCATTGCGGAGAAAAAAAGGCTGCGCGCAGAGTAGCACAAAGTCTTTTTAACTGTGGGGGCATCTGTGGGCACATTAAGAATGAATTGCAAACAAACTAATTACCTTCTCATATACGCGTGCTATGTCAGAGGAGTCAAAGCGGAACGTCGTGCTGCGGTCTTCTTCCCTGCGGGCGAGCTCCGACCGCGCAGGGACCAACATTTCCCGCACTACCGTCAAGGCCCTGGCCATGTGGACTACGCTCGTGGCTAACTGTCCATCCCGAGCCATCCTTGCTTGCAGCTCTTCTTCCAAAGGACCCAGATATCGACGGCTTCTTGAGCTAGTGCGCCGGAAGCGTAGACTGTCGAGGAACCGCTTCCTCATCGGAGGAGTCCACCTGTATCGGCGCCATGTCAGCGAACATAGTGCGCAAATTGTGATGCACGCCTACGTCCGCAAAGCGCGGTCCCCAAAGATGTACTCGCTTGTTGGAGATGAGGACTCCGTGAATCTCCTTCACCATGCCCGGAGCTTTTCTCTTTCGCGCTGAAAAAGGAGCATGTGGCAGTCGCAGCGACATAAAGTTGTGCTGAGAAGGGGCTGCAGAGTGTACAACTATATATTATAGAAACAGAAACGAAGACATCTGCATCGAGCTAACCCAGAGCTTTTTTCACGCGTCCACAGCAGCTCTTCCCAGTCTATATATACGCTCATGGCGATATACATATATCGCCCACAAAACCCCATGACACTATACATGTATAGTGTCGTACAAATCAACTGCCCTCCTCAGCAGCAGCCTTCGCGTCTTTGGCGGCCCTCACGTCTTTCCTGGTTTGGGCCAGCAAGCTCTTCGTGGCCTTCACATGGTTCTTGAGGTCCTCCATAGAAAACGGCAAAGGAGGCAAAGGCGCGTGTGCCGCCACATGGTTCCCAGACGTGACCAGAGCGTTGGCCTGCGTCTTCTTCTCCTCTGTCTCGATCAAGGCTGCCTCCAAGGTTGCCAGTGGCAAAGAAATCTTCTGAGCCTGAGCCTTTATGGCCCCCAAAGATTTAGCCAAGGGCGTCAAAGCTGCCAATGCCTTGACAGAGTCATTCATCTTGTTGTCCTTGTCGGTCTTCTTGTTCTCCTTGTCCAGGCGCTTCTGTCTGTCGGCTTCCTTCTCCTCGCGCGCAGGCTTCCGTGCTTTCGCCTTGGCCGCGCCCGGGAAAGCCATAGGCTTCTGGGCAGGAGCCACGTCCCACTCCTCTTCGTCAGCGTTTGCCTGCTCCTCCTCCCCATCCGCTTGCTTACGCTTCTTTCCCTTATCCTTCTTGCGCAAATCCTTCTCCCGCTGCAACAGCTCCTTCTCCACCTTGCTCCGCACCTCGCGCCAGACATCAGATCGCAATAGTACACTGTACAGCTGTCCTAGCTTTCGGGCAGTGGTAGTCAGCGAAGTTCTCCACCGCTTCCTTCTCAAAGCCTCGTTGCAGCCACACACCCATGGGAAGCGCCTCTGAAACAACCTGCGAGCCGGACTCTTCCAGGCGAGCTTTCGTCTGCACTTGCACGACGCACGTGCGCACAGTCTCCCACGACGTGTTGTCCTGGGCGGGACACGACGCAACGCCCTTCTGGAAGAAGCTCCGCTTCTGCTCCTCATTCCATTCCTCGAGAACACCAGGACCCAAGTTCCTGTAGAGCATGCTGTGCAAGGACAAGCAAGTGCGACACTGCCAAGTCTTGCCTGTGACTCGGCCAGCGGCAGTCGCAGGGAGCATCCGGTGACACAGCTTGCAGTGGCGGCGCTCAGCCGCCACCTCAGCCGCCACAGGCTTCGAGATCCCCGAGGTGTCCATGACGCACCGACAACGAAAGCGTACGGGAGTGCGCGCACGCGGGCAGTCGTAGCTCAAAAGGATTGCGGAAACAAAGATCTAGCAAACACGCGGCCGACGCAGGGCCGACGACAGGCCGACGTCTCGAATTACTACCCTGGGAAGTGTGGTACTTGGATGTGCGGTTGGGGTTGTAAGTAGTCAGCCTGGTTGTCCAGCTTACTAACCGAATGTAACTAGACTATAACTTCGGTATAAGGTGGTTGCAACTGCGGTAATTAACTTGCAACCGTGTGTTAAGTTCGCCTCTAATCTGCCTATGTGCACTTGTGTTCCTGTCTGTACTTACTAAGGTGATAAAACCAGTTAGTAAGTCCAACGCGAAGATGGCGAACATATGATCTACTTAATGTGAACTTACTATCTTAAGATATGTAAGTCCGACATATGTTTTAGTTGAGGTTATCCAACTTAATATCTATGTTTATAAGTTCGACAGGTCGAACTTACTAAGTTCGACCGGTCGAACTTAGTCGAACTTAGTAAGTCCGACCGGTCGAACTTAGTAAGTGAATATATAAGATATATTAAGATATATTTTGTATATCGTTAGCAAAATGTGTTTTTTGATGTTAAGTTCAATGATCAAGGTGGTGTCGGGCCACACGTGCTCGCATCCTCATGTGTAAACACAGTTCTTCATACATACGTTTCAAACATGTACTATACTTGTTTTGGCTTTGTTTCGATGTTCCGAACATATGTGTTCCAAACATTTTGTTTCGATGCTCCAAGTATACATATATTGATTGGATTCAGATTGGTGGGCGTGTATTCAGCACATTTATCACATGGGATATTCACAATGAACCACCGTAGATGCCAGAACGACGCTCAAGCACGCAGGCATGTAAGCAGGGAACCACCAAAGGTCACCAAACTATTTACAATAGCACATGTTTTTGGTCTTCACAAAGGTTGACTTCTGTGTTTGATCAGGTCTTGAGTACATTGACCATCATTTGTTTTATATAGTCCCATTGCACCGGCCAAAAGATGTGATCCAATGCCGCGGCAGCTGCCTGAATTTGGCACGCAGGCTCGCTTCGGGTCATTCGAGACAGTGGGTGGATTCGGCATCATGTTCAAAGAGTTGTTTTGAATTGAGTTTTAGGAGTCCTGGTTTTTGTTTGTATTATTTTTCAGGCCGTTTGAAGTGAGCGCATGAACTCAATCTGTGTTGTGGTTTTTGATAGACCAGTATCGACTGTTCAATGCTTTTGGGGGGCATTGTGTACAAGTTGCTGACTTTTTTTCAGGTTTTGTTTATACATTGACCATCTGTTGGTCTATATATGGTCTCATTGCACCGGCCAAGGATGTGATCCAATGCCGCGGCAGCTGCCTTTGGCACGCAGGCTCGTTTCGGTCTATCCGGGGCAGCGTGTGGATTTTGCGCGTATCAATTTGACATTGATTCATTGATCGGTTTGTTGCACCGTCTCGTTATATTAACCTAGAGGTTGGCATTTCAGTGATTCAACCTCAAGACGAAAGTTCTATAAGGTTTGATTCGATTTGAGTGTCTAACAATTTGAAGCGGTGTTCAACCATGAATGCCCAGTTGCAATTGAATTATTTGGCTCAACAACGAGTGGTTTCGAATCGATATTCAATCCTCGACCTGTTTGCTGGAAGGAGTTGCTCCTGCAGACATCAGAGGATTGAACCATCAGAGGATTGGAACTTTTTGATCAGAGGAATGACAGTTCAACCCATATATGACCTGTCTGCTATACGGAGTCGCTCCTGGCAGCATCAGAGGATTGAAACTTCTGGCAAGAGATGCAGCTTGATGTAACTATCATCAGAAGATCAAACATCAGAGGATGGAGCCAATAGTCATGACGCCCGCAGTGGTCATGGAATACGCCTTCATCCCAGAGAGTGGCAAAGACGCCATCAAGCTCAGTGATTTCCGAGAACTGTGGCAGGGGCATCATGAGTCAGTTTTGACTGAAGACAATATTTTCATTTCCTGTTTTGCCCGTGGCGGCGGCGGCGCCGTCAAATACACATTTGAAGAGCGTGAAAGCTGGAATGGAAAGCCCTTCTTTGTGTACAAGCATTGTCGTGACTCGTTTCCGAAGATGGGAATTGTGGTTCACGAGTGTCGTCCAATGGTAGCTGTGCGCCAAGAAGTCGTGACCAAAGACGACGGGGAGGTCCACGCAATTGTCTGGACCTTTGCAGCGACTGGAAACTTCATCCATGCCAGATTCTTCTACGCGCATGCGACCTAGACGTATTTAGTTTATGTTTGTTTTCGCTTGCGCTTTTAATGTCCTTTGTCTTATTTTTGTTTTCGTATTGTCATTGAGCTCCTTGCGAGACGTGCGTTCTACAATTGTGTGGTTCCTCAATTCAACATCGCAACATATACGCAGTGCTTCAATTGAAGCTTCTGTCAGGAGAGGGTCACGCACGGCATGGCGTTGGCGATGGTCAAAGAGCACATGGAGAAATGGCGTATGATCACGAAGTCGACGGAGGTGAAGGTGCACCAGGAGACACCGAATCACCCGAACCAGCTGGTCTTCAAGCCCAAGAAGTAAACTTTTGAAGAATCGGTTGGGGAAAGCTTTGGTAATGCATTGCTGCATGTTTGGTTTTTGAAAAAGGGTTGATGGTGTGTGTATATTATTACTATTACGACTATTATCGTCTATTGGCCCATGTGTTAACGAAGGGTTGCTCAATAACGTCTACACATTGTTTGTGTAAAAACTGGTGGTTTGGGGCTGAACACGTGATGCAACAGCGCAAGGAACAACTCTTTCATCCTGGACCGCATTTGTGAATGAGATTGCAAGGCTGCAGTTATACCGATGAGTTTTCCAAGGTGCTAGATCGACCTTTGAAGGAACGTCTGCGCAATAGCTCACAAAAGCGTAAAATCACAAAAGGTTCATCCGTGGGTCATGCGGTGGCTGTGCACTGGTGCACACTGTCGCGACTCGGCGTGGCAACTGTATATAGCTTTGGATCCGGCTCGTATTGAAGCATCAAGTGCAAATGACTGTTCAACCCATGTTGCATATATGTTATTAAAATCCTCGACCTGTCGCCTGGCCGGAGGTTGCTCCTGGCGACACTTGAGGATTGAAACCCATGGTGGTAGTTCCATGACGATTATAGTTCCATGACGATTCAACATTCGAAATGCCAGAAAGGAGCTGCTCCTGGCAAATTAGAAGGTTTGACGCACGCTTTATAGAATTAGAAGGTCGACAGAATCAATCGATCTTAAATTGTTCACATTGGATGCGATGCAGTCAGAATCGAGCACTTCAACTTTCCACATACTTCCACTTTTTTGTTGGATATATATGTATATAGTGCTCGTTCCCTGCAATTTGCTGCCATGAACGACGTTCAGCGCGCTGAGCTGCGTCGGTATGTAGGGATGGCGAAGAGCGGAGGGATGGCAAAAGCAACTGCAGGTTGCCTGCACTACTTGGGCCTTCCAGCTAGCAGCTAAACATCAAGTGCGTCCACATAGGTGTGCGCCGATCGAACAGGGGCGGCATGGGCGTGGACCTGCGCCATATGCACGAGTTCATGCAAACCATTTGCCAGATGGGCTATGTAGAGCAGGGCATAGGTGCAAGGGTCTGCCTGGAGCTGGACTCGTCGCCTGACTGCGATGCGACGAGGCACAGCGAAACAAGTGTGTTTTTTGATGAGTTGATCCGCCAAATATGTTTGTAGCATTTCGTGGCTGAAAGCACACGACTCATCTTGATGGCAGGTCCTTCAATCAAAGATTGAGCCTGGAGTCGATAGGGAAGCTCCCCAGACACCCTCAGGTTCGCCAGCATTTGTGGCTCCCATCTGAACATGGCAAACCGATGCTTGCACTATGGAGTGCATGAAGGTCTCAGTTTGGAGGTCCCTGCTGAATGGAGAGCTGCCGTCGCTGATGGTTCTACGTGGCTGGTGATCAAACGCATTTTGCGAATGCAGAGTTCCCTTCGCTCATCACGGCCATATGCGAGGCAGGGAACGCCATGCAATCCATCGCAAAGCAAGAAGATGAGTGGCAGTTGCTGCAAAAGATCAAGGCCATTGTCCAGAACAATTAAACGCTTGGTGAGACGGTGACGTGGCCGGACGTGGCCGAGTCGGTTTTGAAGAGTCGCCCGAGGTGCGGCGCAAGTGGTCCCTCGATCTTTGCTTTCATGTTACGATTTGGAGACTACAGGCTGGAGCAGGTAGAGGCTTATGTGAGAATCTTCGGACGAACTTCCCGAGAACTCGGGGATAAAGTGTGGGCGGCGTTGAGTTTCGAGATCAAGGGCTTCAAGGACCACCTTTGCTGGAGACACATGTTGGTGAAATTTTGGTATTATTTCCCAGAACGCCCAATCTCATCGACGGATGCAACTTGCATGGATGCTACAAAAATATAAAGTATACCTCATGTGCGCTTCACAGCAGGTCCAATGTGCTATAAGTAGTGTGCCAAGTTCCTTCTACATGCGTGTCGATACTCTTAGCTTTATAGGGTTTTCTGGACGTGGTCTGGAAGTTAGGGACGACATGAGCAGAATGCCCAGCATGAACTTCCCATCGTGAACACGTGTCAATTATGTCATGTGGTGTGTTGTATACTGCTGCTCGGCTTCAACATCACTTCGATCCTGATCTCGTGTAAGACTGTGCCATGGAGTAGCTCAACTGAGAGGAGTCACTCCTGGTAGCGTCAGAGAATTGAAGCTTGTTGTAACAAACAGATCCACTGGATCCCACTTCGTTGAAGGCCTTCCTCTTCCAAATCCACCCAGATTTCAAAAGCATCGTGGATCTTGTTCACGCTGTCAGTCGACCTGCAAGAAAGGTGACCTTTCTTCCAGGTGGACTGGCACAACCTCCACAAGAACAGACATGTGTCAGTAGACCTTCAAGAAATAAGGTTGTCACGCAGCCGTTCTTCAAGGTCTACTGACATGACACATGAC